ACTTTTATATATTGTGTATTAGATTTTAAAAATAACGAGTAAATTGATACCTGACAGGTATGAAAGCCACCGTTTCCCATATGACAAAACAATTACATTTATATTCTCATGAGCCCCTGGCAGAATTGCTCCAGGTATGGATTGTTATTGCTCTTATTAATTTCTTCCAATCCTGTAGGTCAAAAGTGATATTTTATTGTTTCTATGATTACTAGAGGTTGAATATTCTCATTTTGAACTGAACATTTCTTGTCATCTCAGGATTTCTGCTGAAGGCTCAGAACTAAAAAAAAAAAAAACAGTAGATGAAAAAATACTAGCTCATTCTAAATAAAAGATTGAATCCATCCTGGCACTAACAGGTGGCCAAACTGGTTCAGAGGTTCCCATCCACTTTGGGTCTACAAAAAAGAAAGGAAAAAAAAAAAAGCAGTGGATCAGTGAAGAAGGAAGGCGATCCTACAAGTGAACCAACAGGAGTGGGAAATGCCACAGTTCCTCCTCCTCCTCTTCCCTCCATGGGGCCATAACTTACTGTAAAGTCATATATGAAGAACCCAAAGAAGGTCATTCTTAGAAAATGAGTGGCAAGTACTTTACATGTAAAGAGGAGCGACTGATATTTTTTTTCATTGAGAAGGTCCTGGGTCTGGGAGGGTTACAGGCGCTTCCTTAGGGGACATGGTAAGGGCTTTACTTAAAGTGTGGCCAGAACTCCTACTTGGTCATTTCAGGCTCCTCATGCCAGTGGGGCAGCAGGCAAAGAAAAGAGCTGCAATATTGATGGGTGATTGGCCCTAGTTACCACGAAGGGAGAGGGTTGCTGGGACACATTGGAAGCACATCTGGAACCAGGAGATGTCCTTTTCATGGACCATCAGGTGCCCTGATCCTGCTGAGAAGAAGCTCTGAAGCACCACACCAGGCAACCTGGGCCAAATGAAGCACAGGCAGAGCCCAGGGGAAACACAGGAGTAGCGGAGAAGCATGAGGAATAGGAAGCACAGCTTTGCCACCAGGTGCAGCAGCCCACACTGCATCCTATGTGAAGTCAGACCACACACGAAAGGCTCTGAAATAGCCTGGACTTGTGTTAGGCTTGAATCTGAGTGGTGCAAAAGCTGGTTGGGTTGTACCCGACCTCTCGTGTCTAACTTCACATCCTTTCAGCTCACCTACTCATTGTTAAGGCAACCAGCTGGGCATAGGTCTAAATGGACAGCACCTGGCTACAGCTGCATTGCACATGCCTAGCTTTGAATGCCCAGCTTGCGAAATCTCTCCCCTGGGGTTTCTGTGGCTTTGCCATGTGATATGCCTACATGAGTCCACTCAGCCATTCTGAAGTAGATGCAAACCTGGAAGTTTGAGGAAGTTTACCCCCCC